GAGGACCTAGATTGCTCGGTCTTAATTCTGATATCTTGAGCTTTGTGCATGATGTGACTGTTTTGAACAAGTGATTGAGTCAAGTCTATGTTGGTTGGTGAACATGAAAGAACTTTTCCTTTGCTCGACTCTATTGCATTCGAATGTCATCTGTGATGGTTGTCTAGGTTGTCGTTCGAGTTGCCATGTGTTGATGATCGAAAGCCAGTATGATCCACGTGTTTCGTGCTGATACGATTTGCCCTTGAGCCTGCTTGATTGTAATGTCTCAAGCTTACCTGGTGTCTGACTTGGTTTGCTTAGGGACAAGCAAACGGTTAAGTGTGGGGGAGTTTGATAACGATATATTTACATGATTTTATACCCCTATTTCTTATCCATTTGCGGAGCATGGTTGTGTGTTTTGGCCTATTTTACGCCGGGTTGTGCTACTTTGCCCTATTTCAGGTCCTAGGCGTCAAAGGGAAGGCCAAGCACGAGTTTCGGATCGTTTGGAGGTCGTTTGGACGAGCCAGGCCAAAACACGGGCAGGAGGCCCTCAGAACACGGCCGTGTTCCTGCGACCGTGCTTTTTATGCCGAGGCTTCCAAAGGAGGCGTGAACAACTCAAAAAACACGGGCGGGCTAAAGGAGAAACACGGCCGTGTTTCAGGCTGAGCACGACCGTGTTCTCGAGCTGCCCGTGGCCGTGCTTTTAAGGCTGAGGCAAAACACGGGCGGGCTGAGGCAGAACACGGCCGTGCCCTCGACCGTGTTTTGCCAATGATGCCCTTTTGAAGGCAGATTCGAGCCAAAGAGAGGGAATTGGATTTTCTGGGCAAAAACAGAGTTTTAGAGAGAGAAAGAGCGAAGAACAAACCCTAGGAGCTATCTTGGAGTGGATTTATCATCATTGAAGCCCGGATTGCGTCCCTAGGAGTGAAGATTGACATCCCAGAGCAGATTTTCCTCATCTTTATGAGTATGGCTACTCTGATTTCTGTTTTCCTTTCTCTCTCTATGGAGTAGAACCTCTCTCTCACTTGGGTATGAAGAACCCTAGTTCCTGATGTTAGGGTTTTGATTGTAATGACTTGGGATGATATTATTGTTTGATTTTAATCGAATGACGCATGTTTCATGAATTGATTTGAGTCTGATCAGCTTGTTTCAATTTCTGCTTCAACCTGAGATAGATAGAATCTGATTAGGTTGTTAGAGCTTCTTCATTCGATAGTAGGAGATTGGCTATACGAGAGTTAGCCAGTTTACTGCTTTGTACTGGTGTTCTTAACGCCAGTAGTGGAGTTCTGTGTTTATAGCCTCAGCTTTCTATCCCGGTGAAGACTAGTCGTCTGCCGGGTAGTTAGACTGAGAGGGCTTGGTCAGCTTAAGAGATTCCAAGCTACTGTCGGATCTTCCGCAGTCTAATCAACAGTAAATCAACCCAGGGAATTGCAATTGAACCTAACTAAGGGGCTAGGGGGACTCAATCCCGAGTGACTCTTAACTGCTTTTGAAAACCGAACCATTTACTGCTTTCTTACTGCTTTTGCTTTAAACAACAATCACTCGAACTAGTTTGCTAGATAATAGAGAATCACGGAGTAAGCAGTAGATCTAGACCCCGGGTTGATAATATAACTTGCCTGTTACTGCATTCCCGGACTGCGATTACACTTGGTCGCAGTTTGGTGTTGTGTTTTGGCGTGTCATGTCTCTTCACTTTCCATTCTTCATCTCCTTCTTTTCTATATAAGGCAGTCTTCATTAGGGATCAACACCTCAGTGTCCTGCCATAGTCAGTGTTCCATCTTTCCCTACTAAAAAATATGAATCCAAACAATGCTCAGCTTCACCCCACAACCGTGTTCAAAAACCAAGGGTATCGCAACGCTGCTGCATACTCTAGGTATCTCAAACGTTTCAGAGATAGGAAGATCTATCCCTCATTCTCCATTCAACCTTCTGGCTTCAATAAGTATGCCATGAACATACCATCTCTTCTCCATGACCTCGGCTGGAATTCTGTAGTTGAAGACATGAGATTCAGCTATTGCCCTGAAGTTGTTTGAAAATTCTATGTCAATATCAAGTGTGGCCCTGGATGTAACCCATCCTTCTTTACCACTATTGTGTTTGACTATGAAGTCAAAGTCACCCCGCAGCTTTTGGCCAACCTTCTTGATCTTCCTCACTCGGGGTTTTTAGCTGGAACTGATGGCGAATTCTTAGATCGAGGGTTCTGCTTTTCTGCTGCACTCGCATCTCTCACCCGGGATATAGGTCGATTCTATCCTACTCAGCTCGCAGATGGTCGTCTTCATGACGATCTGGAAGTTCTCCACTTCTTCATCACTAGATGTTTTCTGCCTAGAGATCTTTCTAGTACTGACGTTTTGCACTCCTCGGATCTCTGGATTTTGTCGAATGCCAGATCTGGTCGTCAAATCAGCTATGCTTCACTTATGTTCCACCACATGATTAAGTATGGGATGGAGTACTTCTCGGGGCCTCTGCCTTTTGGCCCTCAGATTACTAAGTTTCTGTACAAGCTAAGCATCGATCTTAGTGACAAGATTATGCTGTGCAATGTGCTCGAAGATCTGCGCCCTCAGCACATCCTGGCCAAGTGGATGCTGAAGTCGGCCCCCGCAAGCTTGTCACTGGCTCAGGGGGAGTCAATGCTAATCCTGCAGAATCATATGTGTCAGGGAAGCTGGTAGGGGCACTTATGGATGCAGCAGTATCTGTAGTCAAACGAGAATCAGTGAATGCTAAAAAGCCAACCACCTCTCTGAAGAGACTTAGGGAAAAAGATCTGATGTGGCCTAAATTCATATATGAATCAGGAACTGTTAATGATCCCATAAGTTCTGATTCTGAGTCTGAGGAAGCAGAAGGTGTCTCAGACTATGAGTCACCGCCTGATTATCCCTTCTAGGATCACAGAGGATATCTGTAGGGGGAGAGTCTAGCGTCAAAGTTTGTTAGATTGAGTGCTTTAATTTCTTTTTGATTTTGCTAAGTCATGTCGTGGTGGTCATGTTCTTGTTGAGTCCTGTCATGAATGGTCTGTTAAATCCTGCTCGATTAATGAATAAACAAATCTCTTCTTAGTTTATTATGAATTCTATAATGCAGTTCTTGATCTCTATAGTAGAGCAGGTTGCACCAACTGTGTGTTACATGTGTGCAAATTACAGGAGGAGCCAATGACAAGCTTAGGGGGAGTTTGTTGAAAGAAGCTTGGTCAATGGCGGTGAGAAAATATGGTAAGAAGAAGAAAACGGCAAGAATCAAAAAGAGGATCTCTGGATATGAAGATCTGTAGCTGAAATCAAGCACCCTGATTGCTCAACGGTCCTAAAACAAAGACTATAAAGGGTAGAAAAGCAGAGGGAGTGAACTACCTTTTCATGCGAGAGCAATTCAATAGTAGTTACAGAGAGTATAATCTATTGGAAAGAAAAGGAGAAGTTGTCAGGGAGATAGGTTGTGAGTTTGATTTATCAAGATCATAGTTCTGCAGGGAGTAGAACTCTGAGAGGGATTCTAATTGGTCACAGGGAGTCATTGAGATTGAGTGATGTATTGTGTAACCTTGACATCAATCATCTTAGTGATCGCCAAAGAGTTCACACTGAGCTTCTTTGGCCGTGGACTAGTCGGTATTGCGTATTGCATACCGGAAACCACGTAAAAAATTATGGTGTTGTCTCTTTTGTATTTCAATTCCTTTTTATCTTCATATTGCTGCTCTGTTTCGTGTTCAATACTTGCAGAGTTCAGAGAATACCACAAATACAAGCAGGAAGAAGAAACCTTGAGCACCTAGTGCAGAACGCAGCATTTCAGCACAAAACGTGAAGCAGTTGGGTAGTCTGAGTTTTGGACCGCACCTTGACCAGCTAGAGAAGTCTGGGTATATTCTACTATTGGTATTGGGCCTGAAGTAAGCTAGGCCCATTGTTTACACGTTAATCTATTTGCCTGTAACTATTTCGATCAAAACATCTTTCCCTTCACTTCATTTCATCCTCTTCGACTGATCTAACCACAACCAAAAACCCTAAAGCAAAAATCCCCAAGAGATCTGTTTAGTGTTTAGGTTTTGCAGGAGTAACACGAGAATCTCGCGCTCGATTCACACCAACAAGGTTTTGATTTTCCTTAATTTTTTTTTAATTTAGTAAATGACATGTACGAGCCTAGTCAACACAAGATGCTAAGTCACTGACGAGAAAATAGTTGACCGTCAATTTTGACGGTCAATTCAAATCACTGATAAAATATGTTAATTTCTTTGAAAAGTTGGCAATAACTCTACTATTAAAATTTTCGGGCCAAAATGCACTTACGCTAAATTTCGAAACAAAATAGAATATTAGTGTAACATTCCGAACCTTTTTCTGACCAAGATCTCTCTCATGCTTTGTCGATGTGGGATCCGACTAAAGTGTTACATATACTCCCTTCCCATGGCACTCAAGCTACTCGTTGAGTTTTGCCCCACCATCGTTCAAAAGAGATGCAGAGAGGCTCTGATACCACTCGTAACATCCTCATGATTTTTTCTTTAGTGTGCATATCAAAATGACTTCCCATAAGGTCACCAATTCTGAAGTTCTCACAATATCTCTTCCTTTTTACCTAAAACACGTCTTAACAATTAAAATCAATTTGTAACTTATAATCCATGGATTCCTATAGTGCTTTGTCTAGATTTGACTAAAGTGTCACAATTCTCCTACTTAATACAAATAAGTGGTTAAAAAAATCGCGACATTTACCTTTCCAAGAATTTCGCCCAAGTCCTAATTCAGATTTCAGCGGAGGCGGATTAACAGTAAAAGACCGATATAGCCCTCAATCTCTGCTTCGGCTTCAAAAAATCTCTCAACTTTCGAGTCGACTGAACTGAACACCCACCCAATGGGTTCCGCCATTTGAGATCTCTGTTCTACAAATTCCGAAATTCAGATCACTTCTCCTCATCCCTACTTCCTGACCTCCCTCTTCACTTCCAATCCAATCCAGGTACTCCTCGACTCTACCTGTTTCATTCTTTTCTCTCTTCTTTCTTCTGGGCTTGAAATCTGGATGGGTGATTGTCTCGGCTTTCTTTCACGGAATGAGTTCCTTTTTATGCTTCCATGATTGCCCGTGACGCATTGCTATTGTCAATTTCGATCCTTTGTTGGTTGGGCAAGCCTGAATATGAAGTTGTAGACAAATTTGAACTCCACTGATTGAATTTTGGATCAGACTCTTTGCGTCAGTTTCACCGCCATAATGTCGTACTAGTAACGTGCTTAGCGATAGCAAGTTTGTTTAATCTGGCTGCCCACTGACTTCTGCGCATTCCCTTTTTTTCTCATCTTTGTCAACTCATGTGAGAAATTTACGATAGCTAGGGAGGAAGGCATGGCTGCAAGGAAGCCTGGCTTGATTGCTCTGTTCGATGTTGATGGGACTCTTACTGCTCCAAGAAAGGTCAGCTCCAGTTCTCTTCCCATGATAGACTTAGAATTTTTTAGGTTTTTAGTTAGTTGCCTCATTGTACAAATTTCCATCTCCTCAGACTTGCATCTTATTTGATGTATCCGCCTTAAGGAGCTAAAACTAATAACTTGTTATCTTCACTTCTATTTACAGGAGGTCACTCCTAAGATGGTAAAGTTTATGCAAGATCTCCGAAAGGTATAGTCTTGTTCATACAATCCGTTCCCTTTTTCGCTTGCCAGATCTTCCAAATTCTCTTGAAACTACCCTGGAACATACTTCTTTTCATAAGTTTGCTGTTTGGGAGCTTCCTTATTGTCTTCACTTTGAATTTCAGGTAGTTACTGTTGGAGTGGTTGGTGGATCCGATCTCGTTAAGATATCAGAGCAGCTTGGAAGGACAGGTAGTTACTATTTAATTTACTTCCGTTGGAGAGTGCAAGAGATAGTCTAGTAGCTAAACTCTGTGATTTTTGTTGCAGTCATCACCGATTATGATTACGTGTTTTCCGAGAATGGCCTTGTAGCTCATAAGGCTGGAAATCTCATTGGCACCCAGGTGCAGATCAGAGTCTTGACATTCTTAGTGTTTGTCCAACAGTCATATTACAATAAAGTTCCTATGCAATAATTATTTGGGACATTGTCTATCCCTAAATTGACATGCTATGTAATTTTATGTTCAGAGCTTGAAGTCATTTCTCGGAGATGAACAACTCAAGGTAACATCTTTCACCAGAATGTATGCCGATTCTTTATTAATTTTGTATAGTTGTGCATAAAGGTTGAGAAGAACACAATCATAATCAGTTCAGCAATATGTTAATCTTTCTTTTTCTAACAGTGGTTACTTACCCTGTGGTTGACTAGATTACTTTATAGGTATCTGAAATTTTTGCGTGATCAATAACGGGGTGTGGTGGATCATAATCACTCCAGCAGCCTTTCATGTATGTTATCTTCCACTATGCCAATCAAAGAGACTGAGTGCTTTTTATTTCAGGAATTCATAAATTTCACATTGCATTACATTGCCGACTTGGATATCCCCATAAAACGGCAAGTCCAATTCAGATCGCAAAAGTTAATTGGCATCCATCTCGATTCATCATTACTTGAAAGCCATCTAACCTTCAAATGATCTGTGCAGGGGAACTTTTATAGAATTCAGAAGCGGTATGCTGAATGTATCTCCGATTGGGCGAAACTGCAGCCAAGAGGAAAGAGATGAATTTGAAAAATATGACAAGGTATAGAAAGATGTTGGAAGACGCAAAGCCTGTATTGATTTATTGCTTCTGCAATTTGAATTTTTTGGCTGGTTGATGTATATGACTATAAATCTTAATTGTTCTTATGATTTCAGGTTCTGAACATTCGCCCAAAGATGGTGTCCGTACTGCGTGAGAAATTTGCCCACCTTAACTTGACATTTTCGATAGGCGGGCAAATAAGCTTTGATGTAGGTGCAAGTTATCGTGCTTGTTACACTTTGGTATACTAAATATTTTACAACCCTGCTTACAGTGGTTGGATTGTTTCTAATAGGTTTTCCCCCAAGGCTGGGACAAGACATACTGCTTAAGATATCTTGATGAGTTTCCTGAAATTCACTTCTTCGGTGACAAAACTTACAAGGTAGGGACTTAAATTACCTTCCTATTTTGGTGTTTAGAGTTTCCAGTTGAAATAGATCACCCTACTCATTGCCCTGCTTTTGACTATCTTATAGCTGCTTCTCGATTGTTTTTTTAGTGTTAGTATAACTTCTTGTTAGAAGTACTTCTGGTTTGAGTAGCTCAATCAGTTGGTGTTGAAAGCAGTCAACCAGCTAAGCATGACTGCGACTTCTAGAATGGTTATATGTTTGCCAAGTCCTGAAAGATAACACTGCTACTTGCTTCCTGTTGTTAGACTTTAGAACTACTTCTGATATGAGATGAGAATCTGATGTTGCCATTGCTGTCACTCAGCATTCATGTTTACTATCTTAGGCAATCAATTCCTGGTAAGTTTCTAGCAACTTACAGCCCATCTTAGTTCTCACTGAACCATTCTTATATGAGCAGGGAGGAAATGACCATGAAATATATGAATCAGAACGGACCGTGGGACACACTGGTGAGCAAATCTATTTTATTCTTTTATCCTTTTGATTTTGGCTCTCAAGTGGAAGTAGCAACTGATTTGATAGTATATTCCCCATATTAAAACAGCCCAGAAGTGTGTTGAAGCATATAAGATAGGTATTAGTACCCATTTCCACATAGAGACTATGCACTTTAAAAAGGTTCTGGTTTCCCCAGAACACCTCTAACTTGTACGTGTAATCAGGGAAAAGAAGTTGTTACTCAAGCACCTTTGACTGGATCGTCATGTCATCATAGTGGTCCACGATACTTATATTGACTTTCCTTTTGTACCTTGGTCTAGTAGGATCTGAATTATGGGGGGTTTTGTTTGATGCAGTAACCAGCCCTGATGATACAATGGAGAAATGTAGAGCGCTGTTTCTTGGTGGCCAATGATCATTTGATCATATGCAACCGCCTCTTTGAGCCAGTTGTTGTGCCTTAAAGTGTACTGTCAAATCTGCAAACCATAATAAGTGGAGTCCAGCTTTTGAGTGGTTGCTGGTGTCGAAGAGGATCTTTGGAGATAATTTTGTGACTCAGGAGTGGTGGCATGTAAGTTGTAACATGTAATTCTTAACAAACTGCAGCCTTCAGCCTGCAGCATTGTATCAGTAGTTCAGTACTATAAGTCTCAACTGTAGATCTTTTATTCTGTTGTCCATCTCTGAAATTTCAGCATGGAGCGGGAAAAACTCGTTTATGGTTTCGAGTTACAAGCGTGCAGATATGCCTCTTTGTCTCGTCTTGTTTATGCCAACTTTATTTATGATCTGAAGGTGATGGAAATATCCATGATGCCAGGTCTGGATTTCACAAAATGTTGTTTATACGCGTGTGATATACAGCTGATGTATGTATATATGTCGGTTCGAGTTGGTTAGCTGATGTCATGCATTTGCGAAATCGTGTCGCAAATGAAATCCGTGATACTTAGGATGGTGATAACATAGTAACGAAATTGTATGGATTAGGTAAATGTACGAACAACAGTCCAATTTAGGGAGAAGAAAAGCAAATCACGTAATTTCAACATACATATTCCACATTGATGTTTGAATTTGCACAGCCTGTTAATTTCTTCTGATCGTTTCCTTGCAACATATGTGAAGTCTCTTAGTCGAAAAACATCTTCAATTATGTACTATAGAAAATTAGAAATCAATTCTCTCCCCATTGAGACAAACTAATTAAATATGTTATGCAAGACCAGTTAAGTTGAACTAAAGCCCCTGAAGAAACTCTGATAAATGAATAAACTAATAATTACAGGAGCACATCTACTATGTTATAAAGTATTGGTGCTTTAATATACAACTTGAAGTTGTATCATAATGTTAAATGTATAATTTCGGGTTGTACAATAAAGAAATTTGTACCATTATGTTATTGTATAACTTTACAACTTAAAGTTGTACCATTACATAAAAGTACACGTTCAAGTTGTACTATAAAAGAATTTGTACAAAAGAGTATATGTACAATCTGAAGTTATACCATAACGTTAAAGATACCACTTAAAACTGTATCATAAAAGCAAAAACCTATAGCACTAATACTATATAGCATTATAAAAAATACCACTTAAATGTATCATAAAAGCAAAAACCTATAACACAAATACTATATAGCATTATAAAATTCCTCGAATTAGAGATGGCACTCCCTTCTCTTCATACAGTTAAGCCGAAAATTGACTTCTTCCACTGTTTTTGGATTGGTCCCTGCTGCCTGGTGTGCTATCTTGTCTTGCGATTTGAGGGGAGAGCTGGAATTATTTACTTAACTTAGGAGGCACGTTCACTGGCTTCATACTTCATATTCCTCCTCGTTGATTAATCTGCCGGATCGTGAATTTTTATTTTATTTCTATTTCTTAAATTTCCTGCTTGGGTCGTATTCAAGCTTTGGACTGCTTTTCCAGCCTCAGTTACGGCCAATACTACGGTGCCGCAGTAAAAAGTGCGGCACCGGTGACGCTAATTTTTATTGGACCACGTGGAGCTGATGTGGCATTCCTATAATTCTAGAACCCGGGCCAAATCTAACTTCCCATCAGAACTTGGTTGAACCGGTACTTGACCAAACATACGGAATTCTTTCCGTTGCTTTTTTTTTTCACTTCGTTATCTTCCCAAATTATTTTGTTCAGTTTTATTCATTATTTTTTTTTCTCTAGAAACCTAGGAAAATAATCACGAATGAAAAGAGAAACAGTTCGGCATCGATCTCCTTCTCCGGCAGACTCTATAGAAGGATCTTCGTCATCGATTCAGTCTCAGGATCTTTGCAACAGCGCCAAGGAGATTATTCTCTGTTTCCTCCATTCTTTCTTTAAAACAAAGGCAAAAAATCCCGACCGTCCCTCTGTATCCGTCGAACAGCGTCGTCGCCGCAGTACCAGTCGAGTCTTCCTCAACGAACAGCGTCGTCGCCATAGAACCAGTCGAGCCCTCCTCAACAAAGAGGAGGGTCGACCACCCTCTACGTCGTCCCTCTCCATCTGTTTCGTCTTTTATTGAATCGTCGAAACCAAGCTCCTGGAGGTGCGGCGGAGTAGCTTTTCCCAACTAATCAAAACGCTTCCATGTAATGATTCTTCATATGATATTCTTGTATTCTTCATAGAGAGGGGAGACGATAAAGTTAACACACCTGCAACCTGAATGGAAAGGTATGCCTCTCTACATATTATATTAGGATTAGAGTATTGTTTTATAGTGAAGTAATAAGTTAATTTTGTTTGCAGGATCAGAAGAACCCTCTTTAGCTCATGGAGATGATCCTCATAATGACATACTTACTCATGAAGCAGCAGTGTCCGGAGGCTTCCCAATTCCCACTACGAGTTATTTGGCAGCAAGTCGTGTCATTAAAGAACTGTATCTTTATGTGGACAACCTACCAGAAGAGCATACTTACACATGACGCGTCGAAAAGAAGAGGATTTTCGTTTCCAAGTCGTTATGCATATTGTACAAGTAGCGAAGAAGATGCAAATCATATTCTACTCACCATTCTCTGCTTGTGATGCCAATTCTTCAAGTGAGTCAATCTTGATGAGAAACAAGGTCACTTCCCCTGCAACTGATGTAATGGTCGAATTAGTAAGGATTGGAATGTAGAACAATTAAGTGAACTTCAGGTTGTGCTTTTTGAGGGGTTTGTAGCTGCAGGGAAGTAGATAGGAAATGGAAAAAAGCAATCCCTTGCCTCTTGTTAGTAATAGTAATAGCAACAGTAACGTTGTTGAATGTTTTTTTATTGTTCTTGGTAGTCTCCCTTCTGATTATACATAGGCAGTGATAAATGATAATTGTGCTAGGGGGTATCGTAGAATAGTTCAGCCTCCCTGTCGAACATTGTAGTCCTTGGTTTGTTTATTATTTTATAAAAAAGTTATACATTTTTGTTCTGTCATCTTCCCTTAATCAATTATATGCATAGAGGCTTTTGCTTTCAATCTTTTAGCGTATTGATTTTGATTCCACAAGCCCGCTCAAAATAGCAAGATTGTATTTTGTTCGAACATAGAAGGCATATTAGACCATCTTCCCTATGATCGTGTAGAGCTCAAACTCAGTACAATTAAAAGATCTGAAGGAAGGAACTTGTTCTACCGGAATCCACCAAAGCTCCACCAGAAACTCAGTTTTGAGTCCTGCTGCCTAAGGAAGGAAACAGTTCGTGGAATGGAAGACGAAGACAATGACATTGGTCATATTTCAATCTTTTCATTTCTGGGAAACAAATACATCATCGACGATACATAAACAATTCCATTCTACTGCCGTCTTCCTTCAACTGCTCATAACTATACCATCCAATTACGAGCTGCTAATGCTCAAGAAATAATTTATTTCTCGCTCTTGACATCTCCACCATGCGCTGAGATACTGTTGTGTCACCCCCTGGAGCAACGGAAAAATGCTCAATGGAAAATTGTTTCAGCTTATGCTTAAGCCTGCAAACTGGAACTGCAACTGCAACGAACCAAATAAAATTCTATCAGGATGCTACATGCCACGGTTCTCTGATGGTGTATGATCAGTAGCAATACATTCCTACAAAACAATCGCGCAATTAATCACAAGTTGGTATGGGAAGCATCATACTCATTGGCTAAGGGTTAAACTGCTAACCTGTATCCCCATCGAACATGCTGCAAAGGTCCCAAACCTTTAAATTTTTGTACAACAATCAATATCATTCCAGGGTACCTAGTTCACATGTCATGACACCAACCATGCTTTTGCCAACTGAAAAAAAGCACTTAGCTGAAGAAAGCCCTAAATGCACTAATTAAGCAATCAATATATGAAGCCAAGACAATAATCTCAAACATCACAGCAAGAAAAGCTCCATCAGGGAGTAACAAAATGACAAGTTATTGATATAGTGTACTAATAACATAATGACAAAGTAATCACATCATTACCAGGGTCTGGTTCTTCCATTTCAGAGGCCATAGAAGCATCTGCTAAACGTTGATGAATGGTGACTAATCATTTCATAACCGAGAACTTGTTCCCCCAGTTGGATTCCCAGACCTCCTCTCTGAATGCTACTGATATCGAATATCGATGCAGGGCGCAAAAGATACGCCATTATATGCATACGATAGAGGAAGCAGTGAAAGATTTGCTAAAGGTACCCCATCAGTCTTCTCCATGTCCATCTTCCAACACTATATACCATTTCACCGCAGGGAAATTCTTTCTCTGTAAATGAATAAGCCGGTATGTTCACAATAATGGTATCAGGACTAAATTTTTTGGAGATTCTTGATATGGGAAGCAATTAAGAGATTTATGTCATTAACATCAACATATTATCATCTCTAGTTGTCCTCCCGTCTCTCAGAGTCATGGACCTCTCATTCAACAAACTCCTAGGATCAACTTGACTAGTAGTAGGTTTATGCGGAATCACTTGTCTCCTTCAGTTCAAGGGTTTAATTGACTTCAGCAAAACACAGTATTAGCAGGGGAATGAAAGGCCTCGTGTAATTCTGTCATAATTAGATATGTTATCAATAGCTGTTTGACAAAATATGATGAATTGGTGGTGGCCTTCCCACTCGGCTGACATAGATAGGCTCTGCTAATGCTTTATGTATCAACCAAAAAAGAAAGACCAAAGAAGCAGAACAGGGACAGAGCAAGCATCCTTCCCACTCGGTTGGCTTAGCTAGGTCTGCTACTGTTTATGCACTAACCAAAATAGCAAGAACAAAGAAGTAGAAGTGTAGAATAGGGACAGAGCAACCAGTTCCCTGATGCTCGGTAAACACAAAGGAAAATAATCGAATACAAGGCGCAACATCCATGACATAGCAGCTCAGAGGCAAAAGGAAGTTAGGCCTAATCCGGGACCAAAAAGAGACTAATTATTGTCCTAGTTTCTCAAAAGACAAACGAATTGATTTACCTGGAACCTTCGGATTTGTTAGGCATGTCTCTAGACACCAAGGAACTTCGAATTCCGCTTCGTCAACATGAAGGGTACAGAGCGAGTGGACAACGCAGAGTGAACTGAGGACACTGCTCTTTCGTGCGAGATTGTCGGTGTCGGCAGACTACTTTGACGGAGACAGAGGGCCTCTCGGTACTAGGGATTCGTCGTTTTTTTTTGCACTCGATGAATGGGGGAGGAAGAATGCAGCGAAGGAGTGTAGGGGAGGGTATGGAGTTCCGATCGGAGACGGTGGAGTTCGCCGGAGCAGTTTGGTATTCTACGCTCCTCGGATTGAAGGATTCTCTTTCCGTTCGAATTTTTTTTTTTTTGTTTCATAATAAAAGTTAAAAACTAAAATGCAGTTAAAATTAAATCAAAAGGAAACGGCTGTGGGAAATACAGGGGATTCCGTCTGCTGGGTAGGGTTTCGGTTTAGACAATTCTGAAGGGTAATGGGCTCGAAATAAATAAACCAACCAGGCCATATCAGCTCCACGTGGCCCAATAAGAATCACCGTCACCGGTGCCGCACTTTTTATAGCGGCACCGTAGTATTGGCCCTCAGTTACTACGAGACTTCTGTCTTGGACACTTTATATAGCAGGCCGTGTCTATTGGGCTTTCAGCTGCCACTAGCAATTTTCCTTCACCCGTTTTATCTTATTTATTGGCAAAATCAACAGTATAATTTATAGCTGAAAAGTAAAACTGCAACTCCCATTCAAATTTTCCTGCGCATAGAGCGATTTTAGGAGTCTGACGTGGCAGGGTGGTTACGCGGGTTTAAATTATAAATCCCCGCCTGACAGGAGAGATAAGAAACCGTCGGTTCCCACTACTTTTTTTGCGGCTGAAATCATCTTCCATTTTCTCCTGGGTTATCTACGTTTTGCTTTCTCCTTCCCGCAGCACGGCAGGAGATCCATTTCTCAGTGGACAATTTTGGGAACAGGGACTGACGCTTGCTGCTCAGCGGAGGAAGGCAGTGACGGCCCACTGATGTGGAGTTCACCGTGCCGAGATTATGCAGTTTGGAACGGGCGGCGAACACCTGATTGAGCGAGGAAGACCTGCGGCTAATTGACGGTGAATTCCCCAGCCAACCGGCGAACCGAAGGTGAGTCATGATTTGTGGTATTTGTTTACCCCCGCTAATTCTAACAATCGGATTTGGTAGTTATGCGGTGAACGATTCTCCAGCCAACCGCCGATTTGAAGGGGAGGCGAGATTGTTTCGGTTAGTTTGCTCCCGCTGCTTCTCTCAATCCGGATTAGGTAGTTCTGCATTGAACCCTTGCCAGCCAACCGACGATTTGAAGGGGAGTCAGTAATTTTTTTCTGTTTGTTTGCCCCCGTTGCTTCGCGGTGTCAGATTTGTTAGTCTGATATATATGCGTTTGGGGGAAGCCCGCAATTCCTCTATTCGCAATTGGATTTGATAGTCTGATCTACATATTACCTATTACTGTTTCCATCATTTACTTCGCTTATCTTTAATTTTATCTGATTGAGTTTCCATGTGTACCCAGCTAAATTGATAGGCCAACCCTTCATGTACCTCCTGTGTCCTTATCGCAGCTTAGAAGGAGACCACGTCTTCGGCGAATTCGGCGACTACAAGCCCCTCGAACCCAAGGAAAACAGGGGAAACCAGGGGAGCCGAGTTCCAAAGAAGGCATAAATAATTGAGCTCTGGTTTAGATCCCAGCTGCAACTGGTAGGTTTCTCGCTCTCTTTCACTAATATCTCATTTCATTCTCCTTTCTGTTCCGGATTTTTAGTTCTAAATTTGGGTTTAACCCACCGTACTTGATAGATTTGGTTCATCATCTTCTCCAATTCTTTTCTGATCAAAGAGACGACGACGAAACTAAATTATGATTACTGAGAGTGAACCATACAAGAAGAAAACGAGATTTGTATTCGCATAAGGAGAAAAGGCGATGGATGGGTTAGCGGCGGCGGTGGGTTTCTGACTCTCTTTCGTTAATATTCGCTTTCTGACTTCTTATTTAGTGTGTTGATTTTTGGGTCTACGTTATGATTTTCTCTTACTATACTACATGGATTTGGTTCATCATTTTTGCCCATTCTTTCAGATTGAAGGAACGACGACGGGAACTCGATGATGGCAGGAGAAAGTGGAAAAGGAGCGTTGGGTTTGCAGAGGGGAGAATAAGGATGATTAAGTTAGCGGAGTGGAAAGAAGGCAAAGCCAGGTAATTCAAGTTTGGCGACTTCCTTTCAGTTTGATTGGGTGTTTGTGATAAGTCTTAGTTTGGTCAACATATGAGGACTTTCATGAATAAAAAAAAGGCTAAGAGGAAGAAGAAGAAGAAGCAACAACAGAGAATTAATTTTCCCTGGTCAAATCCCCTGGTCGCAGTTTACAAAGACATAGAAGGAAAAGAGAACGGCATTGGAAGGAGGAATAAGAAGACGCACAAAATCGAAAAGGTGAAGAACTCTATTACGATTGTGAAGGAATAACGAAATCGACATAGTGGTGACCTTCTCTCTTTGCTTCTGCTTTCTTAATTTTTTTTTGTTTAATTTCTTGTGATTTATTCGCAGGTTAATGAGCTTATGCCAGTTTTGGGTACTTACCTTCCAAATAGCACATTAGGAAGCTTTCACTTGCCGAGTTCAACTTATTAATCAAGTGCTTGCCATCAATGGTGGTTTGGATGTGTTTGGCTCCATTTTATATCTTCCAGACCTCGCGGTTTTTAACTCAAATAGCTTTCGGATTATTGAGTTCTTACGTTGC